GGGGCACACGGGAGAGGAGGATTCAGGGTACACTTCCGGGAGATGACCCTTCATCAGAGGAGAGGCACAAAAATGGCAGCAAGGCGTGGAACAGCGTGGAAAGCTTGGGGAATGGCGAGCAGTTTGGAATGTCTGGGACAAACATGGGGAGGTGGGGAGACAGAGAACGAAAGGCAGATCAGAGGGACCTGGATGCTAAACTAAGGGGTCTGTAGTTTCTCTGGCAAAGGGACCTTCCAGAACACAGTCCCAGGAGTGTCTGCATTTCCACAAAATGAGGGGGCTCTTGAAGCAGGACTCGGGTGACTGAATGTTGCATTTCACTCTGGCCTTCAGGAACAAGTAGGAGTCAACAGTGTGACGGACATTTAGGAAATATCACTCATCTAAAGAGGGAAAAGCAGTAAATGCCACCGTGAAACTCTTCAGTGTGTTGGGCAACACTAGAATTGTTTTAGCTGAGAGGGATCGCTACAGGAAGCTCTAAGACCATGACACACAGAATCACTGAAAGCATTTTTTTTTTTAACCTTCGCCCTAGGGTATTTTTCCATTGATTTTCAGAAAGAGTGGAAGAGAGCGGGAAAGACAGAGAGAAATATCGATATGAGAGAAATACATCGCTTGGTTGCCTCCTGCACACGCCTCAACCAGGGCCCGGGCTGGGGGAGAGCCTGCAACCAATCGAACCTGGGGACCTTTAGGTCTGCAGACCAACGCGGAAAGCATTTTAGATCGAAACATTTCAATATGGTCTCTGGTCAGTTAGCACTGGATCAACAGCCCCCTGAACTCAATTAGACAATTTCTGAAGCTGACTGACTTCAAAGGGTTTCCCCAGTGACTAGAAGCTTCCAGGTCTCAAGTTTCCTGAACAGTCCTGAGGACTCATCCTACACCGGACACAGCAAGACAGGTAAACCAAACCAGAGACGCTGGGACAGTTCTTTTTCTTTCTTATTTTCTGAGATCGGACTGTCAACTTTTGGTGGCAGAGGCTTTTGGGCTAAGCCCCGAGGATGCCAGGGTTCCCAAACCTTGCAACTTGGCCTGTCAGGGTCTGGCTCAGGAGGGCCCTAGCAAGGGGCCAGCAAGGCCCTGCCCACGCCCTCCCTGGTGGATGCTGCAGCCAACTTCCCTCCCCACACCCTGAGGTCCCACAACACCCGTGTCCCTTCCTCAGAGCCTGTGGGACAATACAGAAGTTACGCACACAGTGTTTCTGTGGAAAGGAAAGGGAAATGAGATAAATACCTGTAAGGCCCATTCATTGCCCAGCGAAAGAGAATTCTTTATATTGAGCCAATCAGGCAGAAATGGGACCCAGGAGAGTGGCGCATGAGCTAGGAAGTGGTGACTGGCAGGCCTGTTCTGGCATTTAACACAGGAAGCCTCTGCCAAAGAAACAGAAACGTGGGCAAGAGCAGACTAGGAGACAGTCCCAGCCTTGTGGCCTTGTTGGGTTTGGGGTTTGTTTTTTTAGTGTTTTGGTTTTTTTTTAATTGACTTTAGTGAGAGGGTAAGAGAGAGAGGCATTGATTTGTCATTCCACCTAGCTATGCACTCATTGGTTGATTCTTTTATGTTCCCTCGTTGGGGATCAAACCTGAAACCTTGGCGTACCTGGTCGATGCTCTAACCAACTGAGCTATCCAGCCAGCCAGGGCCAGGGTTTGGTTTTGTTTTGTTTTGTATTGTTTTTATATGCCACCGAGGGGCCATGATAACAGTAACATCAGCCAACAGTCTTTTATTATCAGTAGGCGATAATCATAATATCTAATGGTGCGGGAAGACACCCTTGACAGGTCTCACACCACCCTAGCTGGACGGCTTGACCAAAAAGATCTGGCTGCACAAAGCAGCATGTGCCTTCCCCCAAAAGCGCACAACCTGGCCACACAGGTGACCTTTCACTTCAAAGGCTTGACTGCATTTACAAAATTTCTTTCAAAATCATGAAGGTATTTTAAAGATATTTTCCCCATTCTTCAAGGTCAGTTGTTTTCTGCCATGGTTATTCTCCAGCCAATTTATCTTCCTGCTGGTGCCATAGATAAAACTATTTTTAGAGCACAACTGGTTTGGAGGCAGATTGTTTTAACAATTTCACAACCCCTGCTGTTGGCATCCATACATGCCTCTCAGAGCTTTGTTTATCAGCTGACAGAAATTACTCTCCCACCTACAGTTGTTGTTTTCTTCCTTGAAAGATGATTTCAGATAAGAAGGAAGTATAAATTGCAGGTGGCAGCCATTCAGTGAAGGATAACTGGTGACAGTCTGGTCTGGCCAAACCACCCCTGGCAGCTGACTCAGAGAGCTCCCTGCTCAGTGTCAGCTGTCACCACCATTTCTGGTTGGCTTGAATGTCTACACCAACACAGCCTGGTTCCCCCGCAGCCCCTAATTTGGTAAGAAAACAGAAATGCTGTTTTAATGGCCAACGTTATTGTTCAAGACCATCCCTTGTCCAACATCAGAAAGGAAAGACAGAACAGTGCAGAGTTTATTGAAAAACTTCCGACTTCAGGAACACGTTTCATGATTACCTGTTTGGTCTACCACTTTATTTTCAAGACGGTGTGCTCCTGTTTTTCAAAAAAATACTAAGTGTTTTGCTCTAAAGCAGGCCCAATATGCCAGTGTTATACAGTATATGTCGAGTTCCATTCAGAAGAATGATAGTTCCTCCTTTCAGCATCCCAAAAATGTCAACGGCCCTGCAAACTCCTACTCATCCTGCAAGACGAAACTCAGATATCTCCTGCAGAGGGAGGCCTTGCTCAGATGCTTCCAGAAGAGCCTGTCCTTGCAGCTTCCACTGGACTTACCAACACCCTACCCACCGGGGCAGCCCTCACACTGTATGATGGCAGTCTGTGACAGTGTGCCTCCACAGGTAGAGTGAACCCCAGTGTCTGGCCCTGAATCACACAGAGGAGACCTATAAATGTTGTTTAATAAATCAATCAAGCGTCGATCAAAAGATCACAGCCTCTCATCACACACACCCCTCCACACACACACACACACACACATTCCACCTCTGTTCATGAAATCACAAAGGAAATCCTAGAACCTTTAGAAATCTTCTCAAAACAAGTACTCAGGTGCTCAGAACAGCCCTGCATGGTTTGATTCAAAGCCCGGACCCCTTCTCTCTAAAGTATTTAGGTTGTCTTATTCAAAAGGCAGAGCCTCCTCAATAGCGCGTCCACTGTGCCAGACACCAAAACACGTAGAACTAAAGAAATTCTTGAAGCTAAATTTTGAGAAAACATCTTCAGAAAAGGTGGTACCTGTCACGTTTGCACCCACCCACGTTAGCACTCCAGCTGCTCCAATCAGCTCCCGCCTCTGGAGGGGGACTCAGACAATGCACTTCCTGCAATCTGGTTCCCACATGACTGTCCTGGCTCAGGGCTAGCCTTTCAGTGACTCTGTTCTTTCTCAATCGTAACTATGTTCCAACTGTGAAGGATTTCCCCAGAAAAGGGCAAATACCCATCTTGGATAAGGATGGGACTACGGTTGGAATCCCACTTGGACCTAATGGGGATCATGCTTCATGAAGCTAATGACTGAACAACCAGAATTCTGTCAATCCTAACTGTCCTGTGTGTGTGCACATTCATGTGCAGATGGGCGTGTGCACACACACACTCACATACCTGCACACACAGCCCAGAACTCATCACTTGGTCCACACCCAAAAGTAACACAACGCCTCCCTTCCAGAGCTAAAGAAAGACAGCATAAGGCAACTGCTAGTCCAGGGGTGGGCAAACTTTTTGACTCGAGGGCCACAATGGGTTCTTAAACTGGACTGGAGGGCCGGAACAAAAGCATGGATGGAGTGTTTGTGTGAACTCATATAAATTCAAAGTAAACATCATTACATAAAAGGGTACGGTCTTTTTTTTTTTTTTTAGTTTTATTCATTTCAAACGGGCTGGATTCGGCCCGCGGGCCGTAGTTTGCCCACAGCTGAAAAGTCCCTCAGCTGAAGTATATCCAAAGCAATTATGCATGCCTACGAGACTAGACCACAACGAGATAGCAAAGTGGCCCTGACTTGGATTTAATCACCCATTTAGCTAAACCCTGGGGAAACACACTAAAGATGTCTCAACCGTGGAAAAGAGGCCCCACATCCTAAGTACTGAACATCATGCTGAATAGATGAACTGAGAAGCTCAAGCCAAGGCCCTGGCAGTGTGCTCGGCGGTGCTGATCTGGAAGAGAAAGATGCAACCTGCATGTGCCTAGCATGTCTTTCCCAGAGCACCTGGGGAGGGGAGAAAAGATGCAAAAAAGGTCGCAGAGAAACAGAGCGCTTCCAAAGGGCAACCTCCCCGGAGATGGTGCCCAAGGCTATCCCAGGGCTGCTTCTGCCGCCACTGCGCTCATATTTAAATCAGAAAGAAGAAAGGTTTGCATAAATGCAAGTCACAAGCAACTGGGCCCAGCGGCTGGCCCCGACGTTGTCCGGTGAAGATTACCTTGGCTAAGCGCACTCCACCAGCACGCACTGTTATTCTCTCCCCAGTGGGGACCAGACACCCTTTTCAATCGCTGGAAGGAGGGAGGTTTGGGTGTCAAAGACCTTCTTTACCTCTGCGTCTCAAGGTAGGGATACTGCAGAAATGTCCCCCCTTGCATTTTAAAATGGTGCCAGTAAACTTGGCTTGGCTGGGGAGTCAGGAAAGAGAGGAAATCTCTGGGAATTCCAGAAAGTCCCCTAAACACTTCCGCCCCCGAGGCGTCCAGATGAAGGGTCAAGGCCGGATCTGGAGCAGAATCCGAAGGCTGAGCCAGGGTGGGGCGTCGGGGCCAGGGACCGGCTCCCGCGCGCCCCCTTCCCCAGACCCCTCCTGCCGGGTGGCCGGACCGGGGAAGCAGGTCCACG